GTGATGCTTGTTTGCGCACAGGCGAGTAAGGGCACGCGTGTGGGCGTGTGTAGCTGCGCCTTACGCATGTGGGCGCAGGTAACGGTGCCTCCCTGCCCGTGTGTCCGGACACGAGGTGTGTCCCTCTCTGGGGGTGCATGTGGATTCACACTCAGTGTCCCAGCCAGCACGCCCCGCCTAGCAGGACTGGCTCTCCCTGCTTCTCTAGGGGGTCGAGCTCCCCCTGGCCCTCCAGTCCTCTGTTCTGGGCTGGAAGGGGCATCTTGGCCGGCCCCGGGGGCTGAGCACGGCTGGCACGCAGACGTTGGTCCTCGGGGTGCAGGCTTCCAGGCGCCTAGTTCGGAAGCCATGGCCCAAAGGGACCAGATAGGAGACTGTTCCGGTGTGAGTATTTGGGGAGTTCTGGAACCTCGCTGGAGCTCACGCTTCTTCCCCCCCCCTCCGCCCCCGCCATGGGATCAGGCGAACCCCCCTCCTCAAATCCCAGACGAGGTGCCGAGAGGTGGCCATGGCTTTCTGCCTATGGGGGGCACCGATGCCAGCTGTTGGTGAAAGACCCACAGGCTTCCTCTTCACCCCCGTCCCTCTGATCCCAGAGCTGCGAGGACAGACGGGAACAAACCCGCAGGACTGTGGCTCCCCGTGCGGTCTGCTCCACTGTGTGTCTGTGTTTCTGATGCCAAACAGACGTGGATTTCCTCTGGAGAGCTGAGAGCGGGGGGTCAGGGGCATCCCTTATGACGGATGGACTCCCTCCAACCTCTGCAAAAGTTGAAAGAAAGGCCAGAGCAACAGGACAGTGGAAAGGGCACTGGCCTGGCACACAGTCGACCCAGGTTCCACCCCCAGTACCCCATAGGCTCCCCCCAAAGTCCCGCCAGGAGTGATCCCTGAGCACAGAGCCAAGCTTGGAGCACCGTCGGGTGTGGCCCCCAAACCAAACCAAACCAAAATAAAAAGCTCTCGGGGGCCCTAGAGTGGGAGGAGAAAACTCAGCACCCAAAGGTAAGAATTAATCAGCTCTTGTAGGGCTGTTCGAACTGCCCCATTAAAAAACAGATGAAAGAAAGGAGGAACCGCAAGGAGAGATGATTAAGTCGGCGAGCGAGTCTTGGCCGCAGACGCAGACGCAGGCTGATGAAAAGCAGGGCTCATTAATAATTCATCCCCCGCGTCCCGGCAGCCACTTGATTGGCTTCGCCCTCGGAGAGCAGAGACGGCAGCGGCAGCGGGAGGACGATCAGAATGGTCGTGGGCCCCCGCCGCCTTTTGATTCCCTTACCGTCGGCACAAGATTAAAAACAAGTGGGGGCGGCGTGGGGGGGGGGGATTCAGAGCAGGTCGCGGGGTTCTGCTCTGCACGGGGGCCTTAATGAAGTTCGCGGTCCAGGAGGGATGAGAGAAGCGCAGATCCCCGCAGCTCAGGGGCGCCGCCGCAGCCTTCGAAATTCACACCCACTTTAGCAGGGGACCTACGTGGGCAAGGGCAGGATAAGGCAGAGCTCCGAGCCCAGGACAGATCCAAGGGGTGGAAGCGGCTTCCGCACCGAGCTCCGGGCTGGCACCCTAGCAAAGTGGGGGCCACAGCGAGAGCCTCTCCGTGAGGTGCTGGCCAGAAGGGGCCGGTGCTGGGGGCCCAGGCACTCACATGCCCGCGCACATGTAGGTGCCAGGGACTTAACCTGATCGAATTGACCCGCCAGAGACCAGCGATCCGAGGGCCTGGGGTTTCTCAAGCTTCCAAGACGGGTGGGCACAGGCGGAAACTGACCCTCAGAGCGGACAGTGGACCCGGTTCAGATGTCTGACCTCTCCCCCTGGCTGAACCTTCCTGAGCTAGCCCCAGGTGTCTATCCCCAGGTGTACCCTGTGTAGCATGCGTGTGCATGCGTGTGTGCGTGTATGTGTGTGCGTGTATATGTGTGTATCCATGTGCATGTGTGTGCGTATAGGTGCCTGTGTGTGCGTGTGTGCCTGTGTGTGCATGTGCACGTTTGTGCGTTTGTGTGTGCAAATGCACGTGTGTGGATTTGTGGGTGCATGTGTGTATGTGTGCGTGTGTGTATGCATGTGCATGTGTGTGCCTGTGTGTGCGTGTATGTGCCTGTGTGTGCATGTGCCTGTGTGTGCGTGTATGTGCCTGTGTGTGCGTGTGCCTGTGTGTGCGTGTGCACGTTTGCGTTTGTGTGTGCATGTGCACGTGTGTGGATTTGTGTGTGCATGTGTGTACGTGTGCATGTGTGCGTGCATGTGCATGTGTGTGCGTGTGCATGTGTGCGTGCATGTGTGCATGTGTGTGCTGAGTACATGCAGCGCTGTCCCCGGGAAGGCCTCCGTGCCTCGCTCTATTCCAGGCACCTCGTCTCTGCCTCTCTGCTCTTCTGCTGTTCTGCAGGGCAGCCGTGTGGCATCTCCCGGGGCCTGCTGTGATGGGGCTGTCGCTCTTAGCCTCCCGGCCCCTGGCCGCCCTGTCCCCGCTGCCCGTCGTGCCCCTCCTTGATCCGCCCTGTCCTCGCCTTCCCTCCTGCCAAGTGGAAACAAAAACCTCTTGAAGTGAGATCTCAGCTCTGTCGAGAGGCTGTGGACAGCGGACGAGAGGGCCCTTCCCAGCCGCCTGGCTGGCACCAGAGTGCCACCGAGAACGTGCTCCCGCGCTCAGTGCCTGTACAGGCACGGGGTGGGGGTGGGGAGGAGGGTGAGGGGGAGGGCTCAGAGAGTGGAAAGGAAGGAGCCCGGCCCAGGGGACAGCCTGCCTGAGCGCGCAGACCCCCCCGGGAGCACAGGGAAGGGGACAGCGCACAGGTAGTGTGACCGCTGACCGATCCCTCGGGTCAAGAAGAGACTCGCAGGAAAGTGAGACACGGCCCCTAAGGGAGAAACACGGGACAGTCCCCAGCGGTGGCTTGAAAGTTGCATGGATGCGGTGATGAGGGCGTCTGATGGAAGCCCCAGTGGTCAGTTGGAACGTTCTAGAACTCCGTGGTCAGTGCACAGAGACGTGGTCCGAGATGCAGACCAGCAGTGCAACCAGCAGGGCGTCTCCTGGCACATGCTGCACGCAGATTGTCCATCCGGGGGACAGCCTGGGCAGGGTCGCAGGAGCGAGCAGAGACAGCTGCCCACAGCGTCCACGCATGCACATGGGAACACATGGGAGCACACACACACACAGGCCCTGGCGAGGTTCCAAGCCTCGGAGACGACCCCCCACACACACACACTACACACACATACACAGAGGCCTTGATGAGGTTTCAAGCCCCACGCGCGCGTGCACACACACACACACACACACACACACACACACACACACACAAGCATGGAACAGAAAGGAAAAATCCGTGCCCCCACCTCATTCCCCCTCCGACTGGGACTGGATCCTCCAGGGTTCTTGCAGAATCAGGGCCGACTACCCCCTACCCCCCCCCTTCCCGGGCTCAGCTCTGCTGTAGGAGGGAGCCCCGGAGACTCCCCCTCGTCCTGGGGATGAGGATGCTGTGTCCGCCGCCAGCTATTTCCAGAAACTTCCAGAATGTTCCAGAGTGGTTGGACTCCTTGGCTGACAGTCGCACAGGAGTGGGGGGGGGGATCCCCTTGGAGGTGGGTGGATGCTGGTTGGTGATGCTTTAGCATCTCGCCAGCTGCTGGGCACCCGGCAACCCCCCGAGCCCCTGTGCTGAGAAGCCCCACTGCCCCGGGCTCAGCTCTCTCGTCCCCTATTGTCGTTTTCAGGGAAACCTTCTGTGCCAAAGTAGGTCCTGAGCACAGGCTTTGCACGCCGAGGCCCGGCTTCCAGCCCCAGATCCACCTGACGCCTGGGCCCGGCCAGCTGTGACCCCCAAGCCCCCAAATCCAAATGAGCAATGGGAGCCATGGGCTGTCACAGCCAAGCTCAGGCCTCTCTGCTGCTGCTGTTGCTCTGCCCCGGGGAGGGGAGAGGGATGGAGCGATGGGGAAGGGGGTCTCCACAGCATCCCCCCCCTCCCCCACACACACAAAGCAAAGTCAGCTTTGAGCTTCTCAAGGGTGACCCCAGCACCCCCCTCCAGGCGAGCGACCTTTGCCTGGGTCCCTGCAGGAAGCAGCTCCTGTAAAGAGCATCGGCCTCCTCCTCGCCCCGGGTTCCGCCTTAATGACCGCATTTGCATGTGCAGCCCCACCTGGGGTGGGTGCCTCCTCCCAGGGTCTCCTACTCTCCCGCCTGCTCCAGTCAGGCTTGGGCGGGCGGGGTAACAGTCTTCTCTTCTTCCTCATCTCCCGCTGCTTCTCCTGCTTTCCTTTCCCGTGTGCTGACAGCTCCTGTTTCTGCCCCTCGGGTCCCTCCCTTGCCCCTGTGGAATAGTGAGGGGCACTGAGGCAGGGGCAGGTGGGGGGAGGGGGATGTCCACAGGAGAACAGAGACTAGGGAAGCCAGACTTGCACCTTTGCAGATGGTCACGGAATGTTCCAGGCTGTTGTCAGCACCAAGAGGCCAAGGTGGGGCGGAGGGGCAGGAAGTCACTTGGGATGCTTCTGGAGGCCCAGAGTGACCCGGATCCAGGTTTCTTGCTGCCCACGTCCAGTAGGAGCCCGAGCCCAGGTTAGCTGTGAGCTGGCTGAGGGTCTCGTGGGGCGGGGGTGGGGGGGAATAAGAGGGAAGGGGGCACGTCACTGCCTTCCCCGGTGTCTCCGGGAGCTGCCGGCTAAGGACACAGCTGGAGTGGGGAGCTTTGCTCCTTAATGAGGCTCTTGCTCCGGGCTGCCCCCCTTGGGCAGAGGCGACTAATTAGAGCCGGCAGCAAAAGAGCAGCCCCGGGGAGGTTCCGATTCTCTCCAGGGTGGGCTTCCCTCCCCAGCCCAGCCACCCACGCCTCTGCCCAGCGGCTCCGGGCTCCCCCCCACTATGAGAGGACCTGGGGTAGGGTTTGGTCAGCTCCAGCCTGGACCCCCCCCACTCCCGCGGCCCTCATGGCTGCAGGGATCATGGCTCATCCCGGGGCGGGCGGCAGCACAGGGCAGGGATGGGGGACCCGGGCCAGGCCAGCTCGCAGGCGCCCCCTTCTGTGGAGAGGGAGCGTGAGCCCGGGATCATTAAAATCCGTGCCCCTCCCCCCCTCCATCCTGCGGCCCTATTTGCAAGCGAGACTCTAGGTGAACCCAGACCACCCCACCTCCCCATGACTCCCCCGCCCCCTGCACAGAGCCAGGAGCCAGCCCTGAGCTCTGCCAGGTGTGGCCCCAAACCCAAGCCTGATGGTTATATATAATATATAAATGATATATTGTGTAAATTGGGCTGGAGCGATAGCACAGCGGGTAGGGCGTTCGCCTTACACCTGGCCAACATGGCCGACCCGAGTTCGATTCCTCCGCCCCTCTCGGAGAGCCCGGCAAGCTACCGAGAGTATTCGATATGCCAGACACAGTAACAACAAAGTCTCCAATGGAGACGTTACTGGGCCCGCTCGAGCAAATCGACGATCAACGGGAGGGCCTTTACCTTTACCTTTACCTTACAAATAAAGAAATGAGGGGTAGGGAGATGGAACACAGGCCCGTCATGCGGAGGGTTCCTGGATTTGATCCCCAGCCTCATAAGTCCCTCAGCACCCCTAGGAACAGCCTTGGTCTCCCCTGGGCCTCCCTGGGTCTGAGCCATCTGGTCTACCCAGCCAGGCTGAGTAACCTCAGGAGCGGCCTCTGGGCCTTATCCCACCCTACCCGTAAATAAATTAAATGCTCGAGCCTCAATATTCATGTCTGCTGGTCCAGCTGACCCGAGAATTGGGGACAGGGGGTCACACCTGGCAATGCTCAAGGCTTACTTCTGCCTCTGTGCTCAGGGATCACTCGGAGTGGGCTTGGGGGACCATACGGGATGCCGGGGGTCGAACCCGAGTCGGCTGCGTGCAAGGCAAATGCCCTCCCCATTGGACTATCTCTCCAGCCCCATTTTGGTGAGACGTTCTGGTGAGAGGATTCAGGGGGAGCCCGGGAGCCCACGATGTGACGAGACCCCGAGTTGCTAGGTTGGTGCACCCACAAGCTCACGGGTCCCCGCTGGTCAGGACTCGGAAGATCGCTGGGCCACCTCCCAGTCGGTCCCCAGCCCCCCTGCCCAGCCACCCTTTCCCGATGTCCTCCTGTGCCAGAACTAACCCGGAAGGGCTCACCACACTCTTTTCAGAGGTCCAAAACTGAGGGTCTAGGCTTGGAGCCCTTAGGGTCTGTCCGTGGGCGTTTCTTTGTGGGCGAAGCCGGAAGGCAGGTGTCGACAGTCCCTGACAGATGGGGTCGTGCCCATAGACGCTAGCCATGGCCTCCACACGAGGGTTGGTTTGGCAGGGCCGCACCCGGCAATGCCCTGCGGTTCCTCCTGGCTCTGTAGTCAGGGATCATTCCTGGGGAACTCAGGGGATCCTATGGGATGCCGGGAATCAAACCTGGGTTGGCCACGTGCCAGGCAAGCGCCCTCCCCACTGGACTGTTGTTTCAGCCTCTAGATGCCGAATTTGGCATCCAGGCCATGTCAGGTAGCCCGAGATGTTTTTCTGTCTTGGATTCTTTTTAGCTGCTCCCGTGTTAAGCATCTTTCTTAGCTGGTGGCCACAAAAACAGGTGGGGTGGTTATGTGTGTGTGTGTGTGTGTGTGTATTTGTGTGGGGGGGATTTGTACCCCCGTGCCCATCTGTGGGGGCTATCCCCCTGCCTCCCAGAGGACAGGACAGGGCATCCCACCCACCCCGTGGGTAAAGCATGGCCAGGCCAACCTCACCATCCTCTGCCTCCCTCTTGCCAAAGAGCACACCTTCCTTTGTCCCCTTCTCACCAGAGACCACACACACACACACACACACACACACACGCACATGCACGCGCGCGCGCGCATGCGCGCACACATACACACCCTGGCCTCTCCCAGGTGCAGCTCACCAGGGGTCAGGAGGGCCCACCCAGGAGTGCACCCCGATAAACTTCCTTTTAACTTTCCTCATCTCTGTCCCTCTGCCTGTGCCGGGCTGTCCCCTCAAACCTCTCAGTTTTGTGTCACCAGATCAGAGTGGACTTGGGGGGCCCAAACCTTCCAGTTTCGGGGTTGCAAAATTTGCGTGTCCTGGAGAAGTGCCACCCCGTTTGCCATCGAGCCTCTGTCGAGCGCCCACGGAGTGGGGACAGGACCCCTGGGAGACCAGGCCGGGAGGTGCTGGGGCCGAGTGGGCACCTCGGGGTGCTTGAATCAACCGCTTGAGTTGCTATCACCTGCGGATCTTCGGGAAGAATGAAGAAGTGATCTGCGTCTGCCGGGAGGGGTCTGGCAGTGGGGGGCTTTGTATGGGTGTCGCTGAGCACTGGCGTCCGAAAGGGGCTCGGTCCTCTGGCTGTTTCGGGGAGGGTCCCCAGGAAACAGCCCCCACCCCAAATTCATCGCCTGCATGTATTCCAAACACTTTTGGGGGGTTTGTTTTAATTTTTTTTCATTTTGGGGGGAATCTGTGATGCTGTGGAGGGAACATGAGTGGGTGGCTGCGTCAAGGCCAATGCGCCCCCCCGCCCCCTCCCCCTGCCCCTCCCCTACCCCTCCTCCTCCCCGGCCCCACCCCCTCCCGTGCCCTCCCCCCCCCCACCGCCCCCAGAGTCGGTTTCTCTAACCCTGGTGCTTTCTGCTTCGTTTCAGAGGGTCTGGCCGTTGGCGTAGGCTTCGGGGCGGTGGACAAGACGACCTCGGCTACCTTTGAGAGAGCCAGGTAAGCCATGGCCGGCATGGACATGCCAGGGAGCAGCGGTGGGGGGGGGGGGAATACCCAGCCAGCAGCCCCGCTGGACAACTCGCCACACCGTGCTCACGCGGGGACAGTCGGGCCTCCAAACTCACCCTCTGCTGACGGCGGGTGGCAGGATCTGGCAGACAGCGCCCACCCCACCCTGAGACTCGAGGCCTTGCAGGGCCAAGGCCGGGAGCGGGTGGCAGGGAATGGGCCTATTCAGAACCCCCTCCCCAAACCCAGCTCCCTCTCGCGGGCCTCGGGGCTCCTCATGTGGGAAAGGAGCAAAAAGCCAGAAAGGAACCGGGTGAAGGGTGGGAGGGGTCCGGCCCACGTGTCCTGCTGGTGTCCGCTTTGGTGACCTGGCCGGGGCCCCAACTGCTCCTCATGAGACCCACGGTCACACCACTGGGCAGCACAGCCCCGGGAGGCCCTGAGGTGACACACCTGGGGCTGTTTGCTCTCATCCTTTCATGCCATGGGCCGAGTCTAAAGGAGCTTCTTCAGGGAGCACAGCTGAGCACTGCCGGGCTGTGAGGAAGCCCTTCTGGAAGGTTCTCTTGCTCCTCAGTCCCTCTGGGTGCTTTTCCCTCCCTCCCTCCCTCCCTCCCTCCCCACCTCTGCTCCCAGCAGACAGGGCTCCCTTGAGCCCCACTCAAACCCCAGCCAGCCCCTGAGCATTCCTTCCCCCTTCCCCCCCCCCGCCATTGTTGCCCCCAGACGGGGACCCCAAGGTCTTGACCTGTGATCGCTGGAGTGGGGAGGTCGTGTTTCAAGAACCACGAACTCTCCGGTTCCAGAGAGTTGCACAGGTGAGCCTTGGCCACAGGAAGGTCATCTCAGATGGGGGCAAAGGGTCCCCCAAGCCACCCACTCCCCCCAAGTGACACAGAGCCAGGAGTGATCCCAGAGCACTGCCAGGTGTAGCTCTCAAACCAAGAGAAACACAACAATTCTGGTTGGTTGGTTGGTTGTTTTGTAGCAAGCAGGTGTGCAGGGTGTGTGTGTGTCAGGGAGGCAATTCTTGGCTCTGCTCTGCTGTGGGCGGGGGGGTCACACTCAGGACCTCCCACCTTCAGGGCCTGTGCACTCCCCCTTGGGCCACATTCCTGGCCCCCCAGGGCCTGCAGGAGTGTAGGGAGCCTTTTTGCCTTCTCTCCTGGTGCAAAGTAAACGCTGCAAATGACTTTCTCGGGCCCTGCCGGCACCTGCGTGCGGCTGCTGCCCTCTCGTGGTCAGAGGCTGCTACTGCCCAGCTGCTCCTGCACCCGCGCGCTCGGCCCTCCTTCGTGGGCTAAAGGGGTTGTTGTTCCCGGCCCTTGCCGCCAGGGGGCAGCCTGACCTGCAGGGAACAGGTGCTCTGTGCTGCGCTCCCCGGCAGCCACATAGGCAGCTCACACTTGTTTCCTTCCTTTTTCCTTTTCTTTTTTCTTCTTTATTTTTTTTCTTTTTGGGTCGCACCCCGCGATGCCCAGGGGGGTCACTCCTGGCTCTGCACTCAGGAATTGCTCCTGGCAGTGCTCGGGGGACCCTACGGGATGGCAGGGATGGAACCCGAGGGGTTTGCCCGCCCTGCTGTCCTCTCTGTTTCTTTTCTTTTCTGCAGCACTGTTGTTACCTCAGGACTTGGGAGAGGGACGCTGCCCCCAGCGCTCTGGGAAATCTGTGTAGATGGGTCCAGCTGGCAGGGACAAGGGCCAGGATGGATGCCGGAACCTGTGCTCTGTGTTCAGGGGGGGACACCCGGGGGGAACTGCGCAGGGCACCCTCATTTCCCCCAGGGAGCTGTTTCTGCCGTGCATCCTGACCTGCAGGGCCCAGCAGTGGGGCAGTTAACCCCCTCCCCCCTCCCGTGCTTGGCCAGCTCCAGTGCCCGTATATATGCTAGTATGCACACCCTCCTCGCAGTGGGGGGACACCCAGCCAGGGTCTAGAGAATTGCCAGGAGCTGGCGCTTTCCTGGTGCCTGGCTCTGTTGGCTGGAGCGAGGCTGTCCACACGTCCTGGTGCGTCTGTCTGTCTGTCTGTCTGAGCACGGTCAGAGGGGCATTCCGTGGTGAAGGTGCTCTTGAAGGCAGGTGCCTGCCCTGCTGGCTGTGTGTCTCCCCCACAACGATCACACCCAGCCAGGTGGGGTCTGTGCCTGATGTGGGGCCTGGGAACCTGGCCCCCGGGGGGCCCACCACACCCTGATTCGTCCGTCCTGCTGGGGCTGGGCCTGTCCAGCTCGCTCTGGACACGTCCGGGGGGCCTCCTGCCAGCCTGCACTCCTGGGTCTGTGTGCACCTGTCCCCTGGGGTGGCAGCTCACGTGGTGGCCTTGGTGACCTTCCCTGTGGCCTTGGGGCACTCCGGCCGGCAGGCATCTGGCAGCCGGACCCTGGCCTTGGCTGTGGTCACACTCCACCTTCCTGGGAGCAGGGGCCGCTGCGGGTCTGGCACTGTGGAACCTGTGGAGGTGACATCTGTGCCCAGTGTGGCACTGCCCCTCATGTTGGCTCCTCCGCTTGTCGGACCAGTCCCCGGGCAGAGCCTCCCCGCCCTGGAGAAGGTGGTCCCAAGGGCCTGTGGCCTTCGGCCTGGAACCAGCCTCAGGCATGGGGTCCCGGGTCAGAAACCATGGGGGTGCCCAGGCGGGGCCTCCGGTGGCCACTGTCCTGGCTCAGGGCCTCTGCCCCTGCCTCGGTTTCCCCTCTGACCTCCCTAGGCTACGCTCTTGTCATCACACAGGAGACCTCACAGTTGGACCGGCTCTGGGATGGGCTATCACCTGCCCTGTGCTGCCATCCTGTGTCCTCATGGGGGGGGGCCCTTCACAGCCTCCTCAGGGAGCCCCACCTCAGGGGCGCCTCCAACCTCCGCCCATAAGCAGCTCCTCAAGACCCCAGCCGCGTCCCTCTGCCCCCACCCCGGCCCCCCAGCTATGCTCCCCGAGACAGGGACTGAGGGGGGCCAATAGTGCCTGCGCCCCTCCCCCATTGCCCTAGTGGCAGCTGGGCCGGCACATCTTGGCACAGGGGCCCCCCCTCTGCACGGAGTACCCTCTTTGCATCCAGAAGCGCGCTTGAGGGAGGCATGAATCCCGCAAATCTCCCTGGGAGCTGCAGCCCACCCTCCACGGCAGGTCACGGACCCTCCCCCCCTTACCTCGCGCTTCCCCTCTGGGTAACGAGGGGGCACACGCTCTAGCTGTGGGTATGGGCACTGGCACATGGGTCCGGTGCGTGTACAGTTCCCTCTGGGTCTTGGTGCTTGTACATTTCCCTCTGGGTCCTGCTTTGTAGATTTCTCTCCTGGTCCCGGTGCTTACAGATTCCCCGCTGGGTCCTGGGCTTGTACATTTTCTAGGGGGTCCGGGTGCTCCTGGAGGTCCCCCTTGTTCCTGCCGCCTGCACAGTTGCTGGCAGTGCCCAGCATTGCCGCTCTTGTTCCCCCCCCCCCCCGCCCCCAGGACCCAGAGGCTGTGCCAGGCTGACCCTCCACTCGCGATCACAAACAACAGCCGCCAGGAGCCCAGGGGACCCAGAGCTGAGCCCCGTGTCTGCTCCCCCTTGAGACCCCGGTAGGGGGGGGTCACAGCCCACCCCACAGACTGTCGGGCCCCTGCAGCATTGTTCTCCACCATCACCCCCGCCTTCTATCTCTCAGCTGCACATGGGAACCAGCAGAGGAGTTGAAAGCCCCCCATCCCTACCCCCCAGCCCCCGCCACACCAGCCTGGGTCCCCCCCATGGCAGAGATTTGCAGCTCCCTGAGTGGAGTCTTCCCCCCACACCCAGCCCCCACCGTGGCTGTTGAGGTTTTTCAGGGTGAGGCCCGTCTGCAGGACGCCGTCCTGGACAGGGGGGCTGCCCCCTTCCCCCATACTGACCATCCTGCCATCTCCCCCCACACCCCGCCCCCAAGCCTCGCCTTGTCAGCAGAATTTGAGCAAGCTTGAACTTGGGCGAGGGCAGGAGTGAAACCAAGGCAGCGGGGTGGGGAGTTGGGGGTATTAAGTTCTGTCTGCGGGCAAGCGCCGGCAGGCCCGGGTCTGGGCTCTGTTTACCAACAGCTCGGCAGTAATTATTTGTTTTCTCGCTGCCCTTCATGCTCAGCGAGGCTGACTGACGCTCTCTCTTGGCTGGCTGGGTTCTCAAGGAACCCAGATGCCCTAAGGAATATTCCAGACCTGGCTGGGCTCTCGGGCCCCTTTGGCATTGCCAGAGGCTCCGTGGCTCCAAGGGGTGAGGGGGGGAGGAACCGCAGTGATCTCTCTGCCAGAGACCCTGACTAGTGGGACTCGAACCCGCGCCTTTCTCTCTGCCTGAGTCCAGTGACTGTAACTTCCCGGTGGGCCGAAGTGCGTCCAGACCCACCGGGCATGCGGGGATTTGGGTTCTTCGACGCACCCAGCACAGAGCATCTTCGGGGAAGTAGACAGACGAGGCATGAGGCACTCGGGGTGGCGGGGGGCACCCCAAGAATCCCCGCTCCTAGTATAGTCAAAATGACATCTGCACTTGTATGTTCATTGCTGCACTATTCACAATAGCCAAAATCTGGAAAAAACCTGAGTGCCCGAGAACAGATGACTGGTCAAAGAAACTTTGGTACATCTACACAATGGAATACTATGCAGCTATTAGAAAAGATGAAGTCATGAAATTTATATACAAGTGGTTCTACATGGAAAGTTATCATGTTAAGAGAAATGAGCCAGAAAGAGAGGGAGAGACATAGGAAAACTGCACTCATCTGTGGAATATAAAGTAACAGAATGGGAGATGAACACCCAAGAATAGTTGAGATAAGTACCAGGAGGTCTGCTCCATGGCTTGGAAGCCGGCAGCACATGCTGGGGGAAAAGGCAGCTCAGATAGAGAAGGGAACACCAAGTAAAGGATGTTTGGAGGAGTTGCTGGGATGTGAGATGTGTGCTGAAAGTAGACTGAACATGATGGCCATTCAATACCTCTATTGCAAACCACAATACCCTAAAGG